ATATATGTGTGTTCACCTGTGTGGGCACATGTGTGTAGGCCCAAGATTGATGTCATAAATCTTTAGTTGCTCTTCCATCTTTCTCTTTGAGGCAGGGTCTCTCAATCAAACCTGGAGCATGCTTAGTCTCACTAGCAGCTTGCTCTGGGGCTCCCATCTCCACTTTTGGAGTCTGACACTGCAGGCAAGTTCCCATGCCTATCTGGCACTTACACGGGTTCTGGAATCCAGACTCTTGTTCTCTTGCTTCGTGGCCAGCCCTTCTAAGCCTCTCCTGCATTTGGAAGGTTCTGACGGCAGCTCTGCCTTCCTGGACTCACGGAGTAGACTTAACAACAACATTCTCTGAGTAGCTGTGAAATGTCTAAAGCGGACAGGAAAAAGCGGAAGCCGAGAAACGGCTTTCTCTCATGTTCTGAAGATGTAACGCACTTCACCGAGACTCGGTGATGAGGAAGAACTTCGGGTGCTAAACACTTCCATGTTGTCCTGGCACTCACTGTAGTATCGTACTGTGTCAGAGGCCTGGAAGGGGAACCGTCCAACCAAAGGCAGACGGAGGGTGTCAGAGTGAGAGTCTACTAAGGCAGCTGAGAGCAGGCAAGGTGGTGTCCTCATGTCCTTCCCCTCACAGGACCCCTGAAGTTTCCTCCAAAGGGTAATTTGGGGCAGTTTTCCATAGATTCTCTTAATATCAATTTGTTCTTTAGAATGTCTCTAGACATGCTTGTCTGAGAACTGAGGACCTGGGACCACATTGCGCATTGAGAATCAGTGGACATACATGGGTCTTGTAGTGATTTAGTCAAGCAATAGTAAGACCCAGAGAGTGGGCGTGTGTGAGGGAGAATGCTGGGAGCCTGAAACCAAGACTGACAGTGTCTTACTGTGCTAGCTTGACTGTTGTTGTCGGCTCACAGAAAAGCAGACTGTAGGCCCTCTACCCCCAGCAGCTCTCCTCTTGGTAGACTAACAGTCTATTTTGCTCTAAATTCTTTAAAGGACAGACAGAAACATTTAATTAGGAATTCACCACCAGGTGCTGGGTATAGTGGCCTTTAATCCCAGCACTCGGGAGACAGAGGCAGGCAGATCTACGAGTTCAAGGCCAGCCTGGTCTACAGAGAGAATTCCAGGGCAGTCAGGACTACACAGAGAAGCCCTATCTAACCCCACCACCAAAATTCACCAATGGGGACTAGAGAGATGGTTCAGTGGTTAAGAGCACTGGCTGATCTTCCAGAGGTTCTGGGTTCAATTCTTGGTATCCACAAGGCAGCTCACAACTGTCTGAATTGCAGTTTTAGGGGATCTCTGACACCTTCACACAGACATACATACAGGCTGAACACAAATGTACATAAAAATAAAAATAAATAAATCATTTTTTAAAAACCCTCCCCAAAAGAAACAGAAAAAGAAAAGAAAAGAATTCGCCAACATCTTTATCATCAAACACAAATTCTAACAGAAAATGTATAGGGTACGTCTCCAGAGCGTTAACTCCGCTCAGATTGAGTGATGAGGTCGATTGTGTTCAGGACTCTACGTGCTGCGGTGGCCCAGATGCCAATCTGTGACAAGTGCGATTTCCTAGCAACAACGTGCACCATTCTTGTGGTGACAGCAGTGGTTTGGAGAGCTGATGTATTTCCAGGTACCGCGTCTGGCATTCAAGTAAACGTGACAGTTACCATCTCCCAGACAGCACTGACTGCCAACCCCAGCAGTGCCGAGGTCATCGTTAGCTGAGTTTCTCGCTGTTAGGCCCAGCACGCTCACAGCATTCGTCCCTAGATGGGTACAATGAACAAATTTTGGGTCCTTGGGAAATGCTTCACCATCCTGATCAGTAAATGTAATTTAAGACACTGTCTCTTGACCATGATGGGCATCTGAATGATTGTCCGCCCCTGCTAGCGGGGCCCTCCAGCCTGGCCTGGGGACGACGCAGGCCACATTCCAGATTCTCCTGTCTGTGAGGAATTCCCACGGCTGGACAGCTTCAGCAGGAGTAGGCCTGGGTTTCTGCACACGTTGTCTAGATGACATTGTTTGGGGCTGGTGTGCTGGCCAGGTACCCTCCTGACCCTTGGGCTCATGCGAGTTCTATGTCATGGGACAGTGTCTAGCCTTGAGAGACTTTATAAAACTTTCTCTGAACTGACTTTACTTGAATAAGGAAAACATGACTTATCAAAGTGTAGGTAAATATTTTGCTTGTGTGCGAAGTCTAACTGGGCATTGATGTGCAGTACAGCTGGCTGACTCATAGGCTTGAATTACAGCATTTTCCCCACCGACGCAATGTGTGTGGGGAGAAAATACCCCGTCCCATCTCTACCCTAGCCCTTTTAGCTAAGGAGCCAGACAGACCACTCCCCTGCCTTGGTCTTCCCAATAGATATGCCACTCTTTGTCAGGTGGTGGTGACGCACGCCTTTAATCCCAGCACTTGGGAGGCAGAGGCAGGTGGATCTCTGTGAGTTCGAGGCCAGCCTGGTCTACAAGAGCTAATTCCAGGACAGACACCAAAGCTACAGAGAAACCCTGTCTCAAAAAATCCAAAGCTTTACACATCCTTCTATGCTCCCCCCCTCCCCAAGTCTGTTCCAGTACCACCCTTCAGGGTTACCTCAGTCCTACTGGGCACATGCACTCTCTGTAACTGGTCTTTGCCCCCATCACTGTGAAGGCAAGGATATTTACATACAAGAACATGCAACAATTTTAAAATTAGCCTTACTAGAGCACAGTTACACATAGTTATTGAAGCAGACAGCTCAGGGGTTTTGACAGACATGTAGGCACATATCAAGTAGGATTCCACAGGATGGGAACACTGTGATTCACTCTGCTCTCCATGGACATTTAGGCTCTTTCCAGTTTGTAGCTGTTGGGACTTTCTCTAAAGACACAAGTCAGAGTCTTTGCCTCCCACCTGGGTGAATGCTGGAAGCCAGTTACTAGTTCATACAGCTGCTGTTGTGTGAGGTGAACACGCTTTTGTCCACATGCTCGTATGACTTCCCATTCCCACCACCCAACCAGGACATCTGCAGCTGCTCCGTGTCTTTGCTGACACTCTCACCTTCCATGGCCATCCTTGTAGCCATGAAGTGGCGTCTCAGGGGGGTTGGGCTCTGGCTTCCCTCACAGTGAATCAAGCTCAGCATCCTCTGTGCATCGGTCACATATTTTCTGTGGTCTTTCAGGCACCGAGTAACTGGGATTCTTTGTGAGTTCTGGGTGTGAACAGATAAAGTTTTACAAATGTTATTTTCCAATTCAAATATTTTTTTTTCATTTTTTGAAGTGTTTTTTGTAAAGTGCTAAAGTTTTTAATTCTTTTTATTTCAAAATTTTTAATTCTTATTAAGCACAATTTATTATTACTACCTTACAATATATGTTTTTCGTAATTTATTTAAGAAAACTCTTGCATTTCTTGGGTCACAAAGATCTCCTGTGTCCCCTCTGGCTGCTCTCTGCCTCTGCTCTTGCATTTGGAGCTGCACCCAATCTGAGTTCACTTTTCTTGTGGCAGGAGGGGTGGATGGGGACCAGCTTCTCCGCATAAATTCAAGATAGTCTTTACACTACAGAGTCACACTGGGACCTCGTTTAAAAGTCAGCTGACTGTGAATCTCTGCGTGGTTCATTTCTGGACTCCGTGTTCGTCCCGCAGAATCCTGTTCCCCTTAACCAGCGTCACCTGCCCTGACACTGAAGTGTCCCAAGTCTCACGAGATTGTGTGAATCCTCCAACTTCATTCTTTCTTGAATTCATTGTAGAATCAGAATCAGTTAGCCAGTTTCTCGATTTAGAAAACCTTCTGGAGTTCTGACTTAGTGTCTGTTGTATCAATTTGAGGACAATGTATCTGAATAGAGACCCACTCAGCCTTATCTCTCTCCTAAATCTACACACTATTGCTTTTATCTTAGCTATTGGGATTTTCAGCATATAAACCTTGTTCATAAATATTTTGTGGTTTCTTTTTTTTATAATCTCTTCTTCTCTCCCTTCCCCCCTTTTTCCCTCCTCCCCTCCCTTCCCTTCTTCCCCCCTCCTGCTCTCTCCTCCTCCCTCCTTTTCTCTTAATTTATCCTTTGCTACTTGTTTTGTTTGTTGTTGATTTTTGTTTTTTTCTTTCAGAATAGTTTCACTATGTATCCCAGATTGGCTTTGAACTCGCTAGCCTCCTGCCTCAGCCTCCTGAGTGTTGAGGTTACAAGCATGCACCACCACTCTTGGCTTCCAGCTTTCGGTTTCTAAGTCTTCTTGTTAGGGTAGAATCATAATAGCGTTATCCATATGGACTGTACTGTGTCTATTCATGATGTTGATCCCAGTAAGCTTCTGCCACATGCAGAGAGCTGCCTTCAGGGGCCAAGAGAGGGCTTCACCTTCCTGGTACATAACTGCTACAACTAACTATAAGCCACCTGACATGGTGGTGCTGGGAATCAAACCCAGGTCCTCAGAAGAGCAGCGTGTGTTCCTAACCACTGAACTATCTCTTCAGTCCTCAAATCAATCACGTGTTTCTTTCTATCCACATCGAGATATTTATAGATTTTCATTCTGTGAGATTTTCTTGAATAGTCTTAACTGGATTTTTTGGGTGGAGGTTCTCACACAGTTCAAAACCTGTGGGTTTTTTTTTTCTGATATGGCTTTTCTGAAGCTAAAGCTTAGAAGCTGGAACATCATGGTCTATAGCTAGCCAAGTCTGGTCAGGCCATTTATTTCTGCGCTCTTTGTGGCTGTCTCCGAGCCAGCAGCACGGCCTGCGACACTACGGCAAAGCCACCGGGCCTGCAGAGCCTGCTGTGCTCACCGTGCCCACTCTCTGGAGGGCTCTGCAGAAAGCATCGGAAATCCTTTCAGCGGGTGTTTTCACATCACAATCCGGGCAGCGCAGTATGTTCCCATGGGGCAGAATGTTCCAGAACACAGCATAACTGAAGCACGTTTTGCCTCCTCTCCTCCATAGCTTTGCCTCAGCTCTCCTAAAGCCTGTGCTAGCGAGTGTGTGGCCGACACTGCCCTCTCCACTTTCCACACCACACCAAGTCTGGATTTCCCACCGACACCCAGGACCACCGTGCATGAAGTGAGAAGCTACTTTACGTTGGCAGGGAGTGGGAGCGCGGAAAAACACGGTCGCTTGAAAATGTGCCGCGGCTGACTCTGTTTTCACTGTTTTCCAGGAGACAATGAACTCCACGGAGGGTTACGAGGAGTACTCTGACTCGATCCTATCTGTGTCTCCGGACGACTTGCCCCTATCGGTGTCTCCAGACGACGCGCCGTGCTCCTTGAAGGAGGTCAGAGAGTTCACCAGGGTATTTGTGCCCATCGCCTACTCTCTAATATGTGTCTTTGGCCTCCTGGGCAATATTATGGTAGTGATGACCTTTGCCTTCTACAAGAAGGCCAGGTCCATGACTGACGTCTACCTGTTGAACATGGCCATCACAGACATACTGTTCGTCCTCACTCTGCCGTTCTGGGCAGTGACTCACGCCACCGGCACTTGGGTTTTCAGCAACTCCCTGTGCAAACTGATGAAAGGCATCTACGCAGTGAACTTTAACTGCGGGATGCTGCTCCTGGCCTGCATCAGCCTGGACCGGTACATTGCCATCGTCCAGGCCACCAAATCTTTCCGGGTGCGATCCAGAACGCTGGCACACAGTAAGGTCATCTGTTTGGCGGTGTGGGCCATATCGGTCTTCATCTCAAGCCCCACCTTTATCTTCAACAAGAAGTACCGGTTCCAGGGTAGAATCGAGGTCTGTGAGCCCCAGTACAAGTCTGTCTCAGAGCCTATCGCCTGGAAGCTGCTGGGGCTGGGGCTCGAGCTGCTTTTCGGCTTCTTCACCCCTCTGCTGTTCATGGTGTTCTGCTATCTGTTCATCATCAAAACCCTGGTGCAGGCCCAGAACTCTAAAAGGCACAGAGCCATCCGCGTCGTCATCGCCGTGGTCCTCGTGTTCCTAGCTTGTCAGATCCCTCACAATGTGGTTCTGCTCATGACTGCAGTAAACACGGGCAAAATTGACCGGCCCTGCAGCGGGGAGATACGCCTCGCCTACGCCAGGAACGTGGCTGAGGTCCTGGCTTTCCTCCACTGCTGCCTCAACCCCGTGTTGTACGCATTTATTGGACAGAAATTCAGGAACTACTTCGTGAAGATCATGAAGGATGTGTGGTGTGCGAGAAGAAAGAACAAGGTGCCAGGCTTCCTCTGTGCGCGGGCGTACTCAGAAAGCTATGCTTCCCGGCAGACCAGCGAGATTATGGACAACGACAATGCCTCATCCTTTACCATGTAACGTGTGGGTATGAAACCACACACTACAGCCGCCTTTGTGAAACCTGCTATTATGTGTGTGTGTGTGTGAGAGAGAGAGAGAGAGAGAGAGAGAGAGATACAGAGAGAGAGAGAGAGAGGAGAAAGAGAGAGAGAGGTGGGGGAGGCCCAAATAACTATGGAAATTAAGCGAGTCTTCCAGTGGGCAGGTGGGCACTGATAGCGAAGCTCTCCCCAGTGTGGTTGATAAGAAACCTTAGTGGCGCTTGCATTCTGGGATTGGCGGTCCACAAAAGAAGCTTTGGGGAATGCTGGATTAGAGTGAAGTACTTATGAATGTAACCATATTCAGAAATGTTCGTGAAGGGGTCGCAGACCCAGTGATGGCCCAAAACAAGGACACAGCTTGGGAAAGCAACAGAAGCCCTCCTGGGACTCGCGTGATGCTAGGGGGATGTTTACCATCCTTGGTGGCAAATCGCAAAAATCCTGTACCCGGTTCCTTCTCCTCCCAGCCAGGCTGTGGGACAGCAACCTGGGAGGCAGGAACCAAGCAGGGAGTGGGGTCCATGGTCTTGCTGCCAGCCTGCAAGCTTGCTTCTGCTTCAGGAAGTGGTTTCCCACGGTTTCCCTCCCCTCTGAGGTGGGTGGAGTCTGAGCGGGAAAGCTGGGGTTGTGTTCCAGGCTGGGTGAAGGGCTTGGCAACTTCTAGCATAGCTCAACATTCATCCCATGGCGGGTAAATTGGACTGGTTTGTAGTTGAAAGTGCTTTTCTTCCTGTTCTGAAATGGAGCTGGAGATTGTGGTCACCCCGGGCTTCAAGTTAGCCCCTGGGCAGTCTCCAGGACCAAGTGGATTTGTTGTTGGTTTAAATCGGGAATCGAACCTGGGGTCTCACACAAGACTCTGCAAGTGAGCTGCCACTGTGCTGTAGTCTAAGACCTTTCTGACATGGACATCCTCCTGCCTCAGCTCTACAAAGATCCGGGATTACAGGCCTGTGCCACTGTGCCTGGCGCTGAGACTGATCTTTAGGCGGCTTTACCCAAAGTCATGGTTAGCAGCAGTAAGTCCTTCTGCCTCATTGGAAGAAGCTCATAGGACTCTGGTCCTTGAAGTGCTGCGGAGGCAGATGGTGAACCTGAACTGGGAATGCAGAAACACAAAGCTCGTGCCAAAAGCTGCTGATGCGAGTGTCGGAATACTGACGTGCTCAGTTCTGACATGTGGTTTGGAAGGCGAATGGTTAGTGAGCTGTAGCAATGCCTGACGTGTGTGTGTGTGTGTGTGTGTGTGTGTGTGTGTGTGTGTGTGTGTGTGTGTTTGAGAGGAGAGACAAGAGGATTACTTCAGGTGTATTCCTCAGGCATTGACTCTTTTCTTGTTTAAGACAGTCTCTCAGCATCTCGGAGCTCAGTCAGTAGGTTAGACTGGCTGGTCAGAGGAGCCCCGGATTCAGCCGCCGCTGCTCCCCAGCACCCACCACCACAGCTCTTTATTTTCTCTTTTACAAAGGTTCTGGGCACTGAACTGGTCTTTGTGCCTGCAAGGCAGTTGCTTTTCCTGTCTGAACCTCTCTCCAGGCCGGCACCGGAACAGAGCTCCTTAGCTTATGCTCCCTGTTCCGCACATTAAACTGTAATCTTATCACAACCTCTAACAATCCCGGGTCTCTCTGTTTGCTTTGTTCTGAGAACCATTGAAAAAGAAAGCAGGGGTGGAGGGAGACACAGACTGTGCACCTGCTCTCACCTAACCCTGGTTTAATTTCTGTGGCTCTGATAAAATACTCATCCTGACCGGAAGCAGTTTTGGGAAGAACAGGTCTCTATTTCAGTTTGCAGCTCCAGGACACAGAACACTGCTGTGGGCAAGTCAAGGAAGGAAAATCACAGCCGCAGTCAAGAGCAGAGAAAGAAAAAAAGAAAGAAAGGATCCCTGTGGACTTAGTGCTCTAATGATCAGCTAGCCTTCTTACTGTTTTAAAATACAGTTCAGGGCCCCATCCATGAAATGCCACCACCCACATTCTGGAAGGGTCGTCACACCCAACTAACAAGACAACCCCTACACACACACACACACACACACACACACACACACACACAGGCCAACGTCACCTAGATAATGCTGTACCAACACTCCTTCCGGATGACTCCACATGGGATCAAGATTGCAGTTCAAATTAACAGGCACACATGGTGTCCCGGGAGCAATTTTAGTATTTTCTCAATGGAAAATGCTTTGTTCCAAGGTTGAAATAACTTTGAAATCATTTTGATGTTTTTAGGTATGAATTATTTCATTTCTCATTAGATAACTAGAAAAGAAAGTAGCTCGCCTTAGGTGACAGATCCCATCGTCCTATAAATAAGCAGAGGCCCTTAAATCTCAGGTACTCCAGGCATGGATTTCCCCCCTCCCCCGTCAGCTGCCCACAGCCTTCAGCCTGGATTTTTGACTTCGAGTCTAAGTTTTGACGAAGGGACCGAAACCCAGAATGCATTGCTGAGGACATGGGCACCCGGTGGCACGCAGAGGAAGAAACTGCAGCCCGCAGGGTGCAGAGCGTGCCGAGGTGGCCATCCTGCAGGGGAGGGACAGAGAGCAGAGGAGGCTTCTGGGTACGGGGGCAGCTGGGGAACCAATGCACAAACCAGGTCCTGGACCTGCTCCTTCCACAGCCACCTCCTCACTTATCCTTTTACCTGCCTGACCCCTTCATGGCCAGATACCAGGACCTAAGACAGTGGCACCCACCTGTGGTCCCAGCAACTTGTAAGCCTGAGGCAGTGGGATTACCTGAGTCCAGTAGTTCAAACTCAGCCTGAGCCGCATAGTGAGACTATCTCAAAATGTAATATCAATAATAATAATAATAATAATAATAATACTAAAGCATACTCATTGTTCTGCACAGGTCCCATCCTTCAGCCTTCATGGGCTGTGATAGGGTCAATGATGCATTGTTGGGCATCCCCATGAAGGCTGCCTGGACCCACTGCCACGCTGAGCCACACCACCTAGCGACTGGTGCTGTGCTGTGGGGACCCTCTGCTTCCCAAACCAGCATCCCGACTGTCTTCTCATGTTGCAGGGCTGGGTATCGAACCCCAGGCCGTGTGTGCACGGGGCACACACTCTCCTCCCACCCCACCCAGCTGCACCCCCAGCCTCTGACTCCCGTGGGAGAGACTGCCCGCTCTGAGGAGCTGCTGCGGTTCTTTAGCGTCCACGACGTCAGCCTCTGACTAAATCTCAAACTTGTTACTCACGAGCCGGCAAAGAGGCTCACCGTAAAGTCACACCGAGAGTTTCAGCCCTGCCTGTGGCGTGAGAATTTCTGTGTTGGGAGTCCCTGGAGTCTCGAGTGTCTCACTTCCAGTTTCTCATTCTGCTCACTAGCAGCCATTCCCACAGGCTTGCTGCCCCTTAGCTCCCTCCACCTGCTGCTGAGGAGGCCCCTCCTCCACGCCCTAACAACACTTAATGTCTTCATGCCACAGGGACCAGGGTAGCTAACTCACAGCAGATCCCTAGAGTTTTCCTGCAGATCCAGGACCAACATCCCCTCTCCCCTGGACGGCCAGCTCTCACCCTCTGTCAATAGCTGCAAGCGGGCAACATGTACTTTTTGTTCTGCCACCTGTGTATTGCAGTGAGTGACAGGCAGGGCAGTTATGGGACAGGGCACACTGCCTGACAGAGAGTTGGCAGAGAGTGGAGGGGGGGCCCCCTTAGCAACGGATGGAGGGAGCTAAGGGGCAGCAAGCCTGTGGGAATGGCTGCTTGTGAGCATGAGAAACTCTGGGCTCCAGGCACAGACAGAGGGCCTGGCGAGCCTTAGGCTGGGACAGAGCGTCAGAAGCTTTGGACACAGGCTGGAGTCCTGCCCCTCCTGTTAACTCAAGGTCTCTCTAGCTCAGCTCCCTTGCTCAAACCACACAACTCTTGCAGTCCCCAGCAAGACAGCCAGGGGCTGCTGTGACCTTGTTCTACACACCCTCAAATTCTCTCTTCCGTCTTTGGCAGGACACTTGCCTCCCTCCCCACTGCCCAAATACAAGTCAGTCTGGAGCCACGTCCAGTCCTTACCGTGGCTCCCTGACTTCAAGCGCATAGGCTTGTCCTGTCTGATAGAGCAACCCTCTGCCACGGAACACTTTCTGGAACAGCAAGCAACCCTCTTAGTTTCCCAGTGCCGAAGGACTTTACAAAGCCTTTAGGACCCAGTGGCACCGTCTGTCATATGATCCAGCGACTCTCCCAATGTCCCAGAACTAAGGGATTTGATGGCTCTTTCCCTTCAGAGCCTCCTTCTGTGCTGTAGTGTCTGTTCCTCCTAATGCTGCCCGACTTCACAGTCTCCTTGCCTATAGCAACGAGCCTAAAACTCCCTTAATAAAGCCAAGTTCCCGAAAGGCAATTCACTTCAGTCTCCTTTTCTATGAGCTTGTTCTGTTGCTCAGAGCACCTGGTTCCTAACACCTGGTTTGCAGAATGACTCAGACATACGCCACAGTCATACCAACAGCAAAGGAGATGGTGGAGAGATGCCTCCACGGGACTGCTGGGGCAGTGCTTCCAAGAGGATGATGGGAAATGCTGCCGAGGGCCGCTGGGACCTGAACCCAGGACAATGAGTAATTTGGAGACTTGAGCTGCCCGGTGACGTTCTCACGTAGCTGTGTCCCCATGAGTGCTCTCTCCTCAATGTCCCTGAACCACAGGTGAAGCAGCCAGAGACTGCCAGGCAGAGCCTGTGACTTAGCACCTCCCATGTGTCCCCACTCTGCCTTTAGACAGGGCCACCTTGCAACCAGAGGCTGGAGAATGCTCTCCCTCTTCCTGTTTTAGCACAGCAGGATTGCTAATTCAGGGCCATGCCTGATCTCTTCTGCTTTCACAGTCCATGCAGAAAGCCAAAGCCACGCCAGCACCAGCCGCTGTTCTGTATAGTCCAAACAGTGAGCTGCATAGCCATGCTATTTTGAATGAGTGAATATATATATGTGTGCGATGTATTATATAAAATTGTTACATTTTACTTACATGCTGTGTGTTATATGTGATTGTTTGTTACTAGATAGATACATAGATAGATAGAGCAAGAAAAATAAAAGAATAAACATCCAATTGAGAGAAGCAATAAACAGAAAAACATCATCAAATTGGGTGCTAATAACACCCATCAGAATTGACTGGAGTACAGAGACTAGGAAAGAAAACAAAGGTGACATCATCAAGTCAGAAACTCAGGGGCAGTCCGCAGAAATCACCTGAGGCAGAGGCAGCTGGCTGTGGCTCCCACATGAGGGCTTTCTCTTGATGGCTGAGCATCCTCTTTCTTGTTTCCTCTGCAGGTGCTTTGCACCATGGCAAACCTTGCTGGAAATGGTCCAGCTATTCTCAGAGACTCAGTGTTTTCAATGCCCTTAGCTGCTTGCTGATTTTCCCTCTCCTGGACAGCCTGGCACAGGACTTAGAGGAGACAAGGAAGGGTCTCCTTGATCCAAGAGTCCATTTTCAATCAGTTTTAATAGCGTATGACAACTTACCAAGGTAATTTACATTACAACAGCAAGTCTGGCCCTGTGGCAAGGCAACCTGTGGTCTCTGAGTGTTCTCAGTCCTTCTAGGAACACAAATGTTCATGTTTCCTTCAGAAAACTTTGCTCACAGGTGTATAAAGTTCAGTCCCAGACAACACAGGTTCAAGCATATGTGCTCTTTACCTTCACGACAGCCAGGATGTCCTGCATTCTGGAATACACAGAGACCTAGTAGGGTCTATAATGGTATGGTACGGCTATTACCTCCACCGTGCGCTGCCTCCTCTTCCTCTTCCTCCTCATATTCCTCCTCTTCCTCCTCATATTCCTCCTCCTCCTTCTTCTCCTTCTCCTCCTCCTCCTCCTCCTCCTTCTCTCTCATTATTTCAGGAGAAGGAACCTGGGGTTGGAAGCTTTCTGGCCACGGGATGGTAACTGGGACTCGGTCTGGCTGCTGCAGCCTGCAGGTGGGGAGACAAGGAGCAGGATGTCCCAGAACCATGTTTTTCTATCTCTGGTCTGTGCCTATACAAGTTCTAAATGGGGCCTTGATGTTCCCGGAGGATGAAGTTCCCTTGGACTTTGTCTGGAATCTCTTTCTGGAATTTGACCATACCTCACAGCAAATTCTGTGTGTTTGCAATTTTATAATCTTCCACGAGAGGGCGGTAAGCCCACATCCACAGAGCGGCACTTGCCTGCTCAGACTAGTTTCCTTTGATGGCTATCTGAGAAGGGAACCTCACCAGACAACGCCTCCAGAGGACACTGATGGTCCAGTTTGCTTCTGGTTCCTTCTACAGCCTGGACTGGCAACTGCTGGCCCTGAGTTCTGGGCAGAACATGGAGTCTGTGCTGTTATGGTACTGGGAGACGCTGAGAATCCTAAATCCACCCTAGACCCGCACAGGTGAAGGTGTTGATCAGAGTGTGGCCGGCTTCGTAGGAACCCAGGTGTGAACATGGGTTGTTCTTCGTGTAGGGAGTGTAGATACCGCCTTTAAAACGCCTGCTCAGTGCTCGCTTCGGCACCACACATACTAAAATTGAAACAATACAGAGAAGATTAACTTGGCCCTTCCACAAGGGTGAAACGCAAAT